GCAGCTTACGTATGCAGTATTTGTATTTTGCCGAGAATTAAACTCAGTTTTTATAAAGACGTTAAATAAATTAAGGTAGTGATAATTTTTACCATTTTTTACGATTTTCGTGAGATCAATAAAGTTAGTTACTTTCATTGGCCAGCTGTAGTAAAATTTCCATTTTTAGAAATCAATTTTTAAAACCTATGACATGAAATGTCAATTTTGAGTTGTGGTAACAAATATAAGGCATTTGTAATGTGAATAAAAAAACACAGAATTCAATGTTTTACCTTACAAAGGATCACACGTCACGGGAAATGCATTTACGAAGACGGTTCTTAGGGTGTAGTTTATTGCAAAGTTTTATTCTTTTGAAAAAATGTACTAGTGTAATTGAAAAATGATTTTAAATGTATTGGATCGTTTGTTGTGTGAAAGTTTAAATCCAGCGTTTTTTTAAGCAAAATTAAAAATGTCTCATATTTGTTGCCAAAAACTCAAAAAAATGAGTTTAATTTCTGAAAATTCAAAAACTGCATACAAAAGCTGAACTTTTTACCTTTAAAACGCTATCTTATTTTTGTCGATAGGTCATTGAATCAAAAGATAGGAATTTTTTTACCGTCGAGCTGATACCAATTTTCTTGAACATTGGATTTTGAGCGCGAAAGAATGCAAAATCGACGGCTTGCAGAATCAAGCGTTGTTATTAAGAGAACGGTTCGTTCTAAACAAAAAATGCTTATATATTATTTTTGTTATAAATTAACTCAGCTACATTTTTTATTTGAAACATTTTTTTCTACGGTGTACAGATTTTGGTAAATCAATTTTTTGCGTTTTTACTACCCTGCGAGGGGGGTTTTAGGGGGAACCCGAGGATAAAAGTGATAAACTTTTGTGATCTTTTTTGAGGTCCTAAAATAAATATGCTCAGCAAAATTCAGCTTGTTGCAGTATAAAATGCGACGTATTTAATATTTACAGGAGTTTCTCCAGAGAAATAAACAGTCTCTAATTTTATCAAAAACGAGAAACGTTATATATGAGTATTGCGCAATATACTTAAGTATTTTTCAAAATGTTTTTTTTAATTTAAAAGCACTGTTAGACATTTTTCTATTAAATTACTCAATTTTCTCAAAGGTCTCAACTTTCATTTTTTTGTTCATCCCCTCTTGGTTTTATATAGATCTATATATACAAACTGGATCAAAAGTCTGAAAACATCAAATTATTTATTTTCTTAAATCGATGGTCCGAATTGTACAAAAACCGGGCAATGTTGCCAGATTTACCATTTTTCTGATATCATTAGTCACTTTGGTTTTTTAAATACAACACTGTATTCTATTATTATTGAAATCCTCACTTCAATACGAGTTCAACCATATGTAACACTTGGTATTTTATTTAGTCACAAATAAAACAAATGTTCTTAAACAAATAAAACATTTCAGTGCCAAATAGTTTTGAAGTAATTCAGTAAATGTAGAATTATTTTTAATATTAACGTAAACCTATTATTTTATAAACTAGATTTATGCATTATCATTACTATTATAAATATAATATAAACAATATGATTTTAAAGAAAATTATAGTTTGTTCTCAATAAAAATAGTAATTTATTATAAGCAGAAATATAATATTCTATAAGTCATCAACAAAGACACAACACAAAGACATAGGACAATTAACATTAGAAATTGAGGATTTCTAACATTACTATAAATGATCACAACTTCGAAGTGGTTTAATGAATTTAAATATCTAGGAGAAACAATCACAAATGACAACAAATTAGAGCGGAAAAGTATTGAAACGAGAATAATGACAGGAAACAGATCTTTCTTTGCAATGCAACATAAGTCAAAAGATCTTTCACGAGGTACAAAAATCCGGTTATATAAGACCATAATACGACCAGCAGTCGCATATGGAAGCGAAACATGGACGCTAACAAAAAAGATAAGTAAATAAATTGCTGGTGTGGAACGTAAAATTCTTCGAATGATATATGGCCCTTGCAGAAACAGCGTGACAAACGAATGGAGGGGCAGATATAATATCGAGGTAGAGTCTCTATTCGGAAAAGAAAATCTAGTCATATATATAAAGGCCAATAGATGCGCAAGGCATGTGATACGCAGTAACGACAATCGCCTTTATAAACAATCTATTCTGGGAAAGACCAGATGAAAGAAGGTCTGTAGGGCGGCCTAGAAAAAGGTGGAAAGATGCAGTCAAAGAAGATCTAGAGAAATGGGAGTGCGACAATGAGAATTACTGGCACAGGACCGACAAACATGAAAGGCAATAGTAAACGCGGCAAAGACTCAGGAAGAGTTGTAGCGCCATTGATGATGATGATGATGAATCAACAAAGACGATTTACTATTTCATTATTTCTTTGTTAAAAAAAGATAAAAAATCGTTTGGATGGCTCAAGTTTGTAGCATGCATACACTCATATCAGGTCCAATAATTGCTGTAAAAGCAAAACAGTTTTATGGTGTGTTGGGCTTAAAAGGGGATTGAAATGCATCATCTGGTTGGTTGACTCAATTTAAGTAACGCCATGGGATAAAGCCGATAGGACTTCATGGAGTGAAGCTCAGCGGTGACCAACAGAAAGCTGAGGAATTTAAAAGTGAGTTCGAAGAGTTCCTTTCTTCAAATTTATAACGCAGACGAATCAGGCCTCTTGTGGAGGTGCTTTTAAAATTGAGGGTAAAGCAGGAAGGCCATAAATTCAGCAAAGAACGGATCACGATTATGTCTTGCAGCAACACTACAGAAAGTCACAAACTGAAATTGACGGTGATTGCCAAGGCAAAAAAACCTGGATCTTTTAAGGTTACCTGAGAACAAAAACTACCTGTTGATTACTTCAACCAAAGGAAAACGTGGATGGATAAAAAACTATTTCAAGATGGTTCGAAGTTAAATTTGTACCAGTAGTTAAAAAACATTTAAAAGCAAACAACTTACCACAAAAACAAGCGATAAACTAAATGCTACTTAGAAATAAAATTGTATCAGCCTTGAAAAAGAAGTTTGAAGCCAATTTTAATGAGAAATGATTTCAGCAAGATGGAGCTGAAAGTCATTTTGGTGTAAATGTTCGGCGTTATTGAGATCAAGCATTTCCCGGACGATGGATTGATAGATTAGGTAGTAGTGAATGGCCTCCTCTTTCACCCGATTTGCATCTTAAAGATTATTTTTATTAGGGATACTTGAAAAGTAGAATTAATAAAGCTAAACCAGCAAGTGTTGCAGAGCCAAATCAAAGAATTATGAAGCGATGCACCCGTATTAGTTTCTAGAGAAACATGGGGGAAATGTAATAGACGCATAATAATTCTAGAGAAACATGGGGAAATGTAATAGACGCATTCTACCATCATCTGGAATACTGTTAAATTAACAACGTAGGCTATTTTGAACACTTGGTTAGGTAGACATTAATTTAGCAATGTGGTAAACTTTTAATTATTATGGTCAAAGTTACCTGTACATAGTTTGAAATAAAAATGTTTTGAAGTGGAGATTTCAATGCAGGTACAATATATAGGGCTAATGATAATAGAAAAATTGTAAATATGTCAACATTACAAGTATAAATTTCAAATCTTCGTATTGGAAAATAGGTATGCCCCTGTTTTTGTATAATTTCAACCATCTATTTTTTCTACCTTCCTCTATTTTGAAGGTATATAAAATGCGTCTTATCTCGATCTCCACTCACTACAGACGATGCCGATCTTAACTTTTTGTAGTTGTATTATGTTGACAGGGATCTCTGCTACACAGTTCCTTCATATTTTTTTGTTAATTAAAATGACACCATGTTATTAGAGCATGTAGACAAAGAGCACCGTTTCCACTAACCCTATCGCATGCTATACTGTACCGAAAAAGTCTTTTTATGCCTGTCTAGAAATCAAACTCTCGATTAAAAATATACCTATTATATTTTAAAAACAAATCAACTGCTATGGAAAATCTGTGATCTGGTATTCAATAAAATACTATATCGTAGAATTGACATTGCTGAATATTTTACCTGCCACATATAAGTTCCTGATTGCCTTAACATTTTTAATGATGATGAATGTTGTTTGTTTGATGATTGTAAATGTATTTGGTCTGTTCTCCATTTTTAACAGATTCGTATAACGTTTTGGATATCCGGTTTCAGTATACATAGAATTACAAATTGAATGTAGTTCAAAAAAGGGGAGAACAGAGTCCATTATTGTACCAATTTTGCTGATACTACTATTTTAAAAATATTGACGTGAATACAAATGAAAGTTTTACATAAAACCATTTTGTGACCTGATAAGAAAATTCCTAATAAAAAAATAGGGATTAATTTCTTAATAATCATTTTTTCTTTTGATCTATCCCAAGTTATTGTTGTCTTAGTACAGTTTATCTGCGATTATACTTTCTTTAAAACTTTCAACAAATCAATTTTTTTCACCACTGAAATGCTTCTATGCTTCTAAGAAGTCTTTGTAAACCATGTAAAAGATCTTTGTAATAAAACTGTTTTATTAATGCAATCTTCATCATCATGGCAGTATATCAATCACATTATCCGAAAAGAGTTGTTAATGTATGCCATTTTATCCGGTTTTGTATCTACTTAAGCCTTTTAATCGGTAGCCTAGACAATCCTCTTCAGCCCAAGATGATTTTATAACTGCTTTATTAGAAAGCACCTCCAAGAGCAAAATTGGGACAAAGGTTGTAATAAGTGTAGACAGCTGACAAATACCGGTCCTTTATCTTCCTCTATGACAACCAAAAAGCTTTGTTAATTTGCCTTTTAACAGTTTCAAACCATGCTTTGAATATTCCTCCTCGAACTAACAGATAAAACATCTGTGATACGTCAGCTCTCTACCACTATTAGTAGCCACGTGTCGTGTAGCATGTCTGAGTGAATCTGCCCGCATGAATGTGAATGTTAGAAAGAGCGTACCCATTATTCACCACAGTTTTGACGTATGACGATGGCCAAGAAGGCGAGGATGAGGAGGGCAGTTTACCGCCACATCTCGGAGGATATGGTGGGAGCAAGCTGCCGCCTGGAATCCTACCGCACGGTCTTCCCCAAGTCAAGGAGGTCCAGCCAGCGGTTACGGCTTTGGAACAGGAACAGAAGAAGGAGGAAGTAAAAGAAAGTAAGTTAAATTTAGTTTATGTGGATACCTTTATTGTTAGCAATATCCCAGATTGTTTAAAAATATTTTTTTTTTTGTATTTAAAGACATATTAAGAAATAGTATTACATAAAATATACCAAAATAACAGTTTTCTGTTATTCAACTTCTTTTCATTCCTGATATCCATTCTAAGATTGTGGAACCTTGTATCAGCTTGTATAGATCTAAAGAATGGATACCATATGTTTTTGGAGTCATTTCATAGTCTCCAACAAATGTTCGCTGTGTGAAATCTAATGCTTCGCAGTCTTGCAAGCTATTCTTGGCCGTTTCAGATTCTCACAAATGGTTGAATTTATACTTCTTTGAATACGTCCATTTTTTTTAATTTTGACTTACATTATAAGCTGTCGTTTCTGATTTTATTAAGCGACCTCTATATGGCCTCTTCAATTTTTATTTAGCCATATTAACTGTTTTTCTTCAAAATTGCCTGATATTCGATTGGAATATTGTTATTCCATTTCTGTCTAGGTCGGGCCGTTTTTTCGGAATCGGTCTCTTATAAACCAGTTGTACTGCAACCAATTAGCTTGCAATCCAGAATTCTGGAACTTTGTACCATATGGTAAGGGTCTAGTGGACTAGTACCATATTTTTTTGAAGTCACTTGGCAGTCTCCAAATTTTTTTTTTTGTCGCATGCGATCTAGTGCCTCGAAGTCATGCAAGATATGATTGATTGATTCAGGTTTTCTGATAAGAGTCAGTAGCTTAAGTTTCCATGAAACAGCCCCATATTATGCAGATGTCCCCTGGCGTATGTCCGCAGTACTTCAGCTATATTAGCGCATGTTCGTCCAATATATATTTTGCCATGTGCTTTTCCGGGTATACTTTACTAGTGAGAGTTATGCTGTATTCGGATTCAGACTGGCTCTAGACCAAAGTATTTCGTTTCGCTGTTGCTCTTCTGGCAAATTCATCAACTTTCATTACCGTGTATTCCTCGGTGATCTGGAACCTATATCCGGAACCTGTATCCTATAACCATTTTGCACTAGCCTAGAGTTCACCTTAGTGTTTCTAAGAGCCCCATGGCCGCTTGGATATCTGTGTATAGATAGATATCCTCATTGAAAGATTGCATAAAACTGACAGGATGTAGGATGATCCACTCTTGAATGTAGGTCTCTCACAATTGCCTTCATATTTCTCTAACTTGGGACAATTTAATCCACTGTTTGCCTGCCACTGCTCTTATGTCATCTACTCATCTCTCTTGAGGTCATCTTATGCTTCTTGTTCCCCTTAGTCTCCATTCTAGGATTCTCCGTGTCCAGCCGTATTGACTGTTTTTCTCTAGTGGAATAGAAATGTTCCGCACCCAATCTTTCTGCAGTTTTAGACTTATCTGTGCACCAGCTATACTCTGCAGTCTGATTCGTGTGTTTCCTTTGCAAATCCCTCTTGTGCGCAAATGTCTGCTTGGAAAGGCACTAAAGGCCTTTATCTGGGTACTTTATGGTCAGAAATCATCATCAATGCGCTATTTCTGATTTCATTTATAATGTTAATATGTCCTGATCTCTGTGCTGAGCCAGATTGCAGTCAGTCAACAATTTTACACTTTTGGCCAAGAAACTCATAAACGCCCAATACTCCACTAGAAAAAGAGAGAGAGGGAGAAGTGTTCTGACCTCATATAATTCTCTCCTCCCCTTTACAGCAATTTACAAATGAGAGAAGTCCAGTAGGGCCTCCATAGCTGCTGTTTCAGAATCCCCTAGGAGACTGTGATTCCAAGGCAAGCAGATGTTTGCACCTTACTTAGTTTGAAGATAACACCTTTTTGCTGCACCTTTGCCCTTCATATTATTTCCATGAGTGTGTTGTACTACCATTAAGATAGTTACCCCCTTCTCTTGGTTGTTCGTTATATCTACTGATTCCAAGTAAGCCTCGAGTCTAATATTATCTCCCAAGGTACTTTAATTCTCTCACTAGATTTAAATTTGTACCATTTGGGCGAGTCAGTTTTCCTGGAGGACTTCTGGCGTTTATAGCGGTGTAACTTTGAGCATTTGACCAAGCGGTCCATTTTCTTGGATAATTGAAAAATGCTTGTTTCTTGTCTATCATTTAGATATGAATGGTTCTGAACCGAGCTTTATAAAGGATGAACACAACAATAAAAATCAAAAATTGATTTCGAAAGTATTTTTATAACACAAATCTAATCCTATTATTATATCCATTGAACTAAATCCTTTAAAGGGAAAGGATTTATCGATCGGATCTCGTTTAATGTTACCCTTTCAAAGTGCAGCTGGATTAGTTGCAGTACATTTTAGTTTGTAAATGAAGACTACAGCTTGTTGTTTATACTATGATTTTAATCAAATATTGTTTTATAGTTAGGGAACTGAGCGAGGAAGAGAAACAGATGATCATACTTTCAGAGGAATTCCAACACTTCATAGATAGGGCCGGGAGAGTGATGGAGAGGGCTCTGTGTGAAAGTGTCGACATTTATATGGATTACACAGGCAGCTTAGGAGAGGAAGGACTGTAAGTCGGAACTTTCTTTTTTATAAACCTTTTATATCTTGGAAAATGACTTTCCTTACTAATTCTTTTTCATTGGCTTTAATATTAACAAAAACAAAATATCAAGTTGCCTTTGGAAACAAAAGTTTGTTTACTTTGTCGTTCAGAGTTTCGCTTTAAGATGTGTAAAGATAAGAAAAAGTATCTACAAGTTGGTTGGGCGGGTATCCACAGCTGAAATCGGTCGAATATTTCAGAATGAAAACATTTTAGGCAGAACCATTTATAGATTAATAGCGGAGAGCGAGCAGGGAATACCATGTCTAAATCTTCCAAAGACTAGGGGCATTTATTGCACAGAGGTCAGAGAGATTGGTGAGAAGAGCAAAAAACTAGGTTGGAATGTCAACTAGAAAACTGGCTCGTCAGTACAGATCTTTTAAGAGTACGATCTCGTTGGAATTAAAAAGGAATGGTCTTAAGTATCGAAAGTATGTCGATGTAGGTGCTCCAAATACTCTCGGATTTCCTACGGATAACGTAGAAGACAGACCTGACAATAAAGCGAAATTTGCAGATAAAACCCTTATCTGGTGCGCAATTTTTAACAAGGGGTGTATCCCGACCTTTTGTGGGAAGAGTGAGGGATGAAGCTTTTGACTTCAACGTCTATAATGATAATAAGTAATTTACATTACCGAGACGGTTATAAAGTATACAATTAAAGCGGTGGGATCTCTGAATGTCACAATCTGGAAGAGTAAACACCTAAGACAAGACACAAAAACAAAAATCTATAAATCAGAAATTAGGCATATATTAACATACATGGCGGAGACAAAAGCTGACACATCTAAAACAAGACGATTACTAGAAACAACAGAGATGAAAATACTCAGACGAATATCGGGAAAAAGTCTGTTGGATAGGGAGAGAAGCGAAAACATAAGAAGAGCATGCAATATAGAAGACATAAATGGATGGGTGACAAAACGGAAACAGGAGTGGAACAAACACATTAGTAGAATGGCAGAGGATAGGATAGTACGAATAGCACGAAATAAGTCACCAAACGAAGAAGAATTGGCAGCCCAAGAAAAAGATGCTGCGATAATTTAAACAATTTAGGAGGTTAATATTGAAGAAAAAACAGGCTTTAAAGCCTACAAACAAGAAAGGAGAAGAAGAGACGGCTATAAGATAGGTGGATAATATAAGTAAAGTTATAAGATAGATGGAAAATATAAGAAAGATGAGCTTATCTCCAAGTATAACTTACTCGTTCGGAATCTGGTACACAAGAAAGGTAATATTGATACTCTATCAGGGCTTAAATTTCCATCTAAGAAGAGGGAATTTCGGATGATCATGCTATATTAGCCTTAACTATGAGTAAGCACAGGGAACCACTTCGAGTCAACAGGGCTTTCTCTTTTTAGAAACTCAATATTTCGGCTAGAGGAAGCAGCATACAATTGAGTTTAGGAAATGTGTGATTTCTAAATTAACAAAGGGTAAAGAATTCGTTGAATCAGTTCTTGTAAGATGAGGGCTAAAGGCCACTTTCATTAATTAAGAAGTCGAAGCATGACGCGTTCTGCTGATTTGCTATCCATGGACGTAGCAAAAAAAATTGAGGGGAAATAATTGGGAGAAATTGTGGGATACTTTGAACATGTTTCAACTTAAGTGAAAACTTATTACTTTAATAAGTTATTTTTTGGGTAAGGTAATATTTTAAATATATATTGAAATTTCAAAAAATACGTAAAAATAAAGTAGAATTTTTAAAGAAAAACTATATTATTTTTATTACAGATTTGAATTCTAGTCATTAAAATACACAAAAAATAGTGGAAATAATACATGGGACAAAACATGAGTTTCCAGTGTACTCCTTTCATTTCTTAAAAAAAATATAAGAGATCTATAGACAAAGTATATTATTGACATGGTTGTAATGAGTAATGTATTTCCGACATACTTAGTAGTCCTGAAATAGACAATAATATAAACGACTTAAATAATAAATTAACAAATGTTTTACTAGAAAGTCAGAAGTCGAACTCAAAAAGAAGAGAAGATTAGCCAAAATGCTAGGCAACTAATGCAGAAGGGAAGAGAAATGAGAAGCGAGACGGAAACTAAAGCCGACGAACTGCAAAAATTAAATAAAGAAATATCCAAAGCTGTTAGACAAGACACTCGAAAATACAACCAAGAACAAATCAAACATACAATTGAGAACAATAGAAGTATGAAAGTATTGAGAAAAAGACTAAGAACGGGGACAAGGCAGATAATAAAGATTAAAGATATAATGGTCATCTTACAACCAACAGAGAGGAAACCCTTAAAATAGTTGAAGACTTCTACAAATTGCTGTACACAAACCAACACAAAGCAAATAGCAGAGAAGATTAAGTACCAGAAATATTAACAAGGAAAAAGGGCATTGCCAACCAAGGATCAGAACTACTACCGGAAATTACAATGGACGAAATAAAACTAGCCCTAAGAGCTAAGAATAATAAATCTTCAGGCAAAGATCGTGTAGTTACTGATGCAATCAAAATCGGAGGTACTTGCCTACTTAAGAAAATAAAAAACCTTTTTAACATGTGCCTTTTGGACAGTAATATACCCGACAAATGGCACAATGCTGAGCTAATTATGTTGTACAAAAAAGGAGATCCCATGAATTAGAAAACTACAGACCTATAAGTCTTCTTAGTCACCTATACAAACTCCTTACAAGAATAGTATCGAATCGTCTTGGGAAAAAATTTGATTTCTACCAGCCAATAGAGCAAGCGGGATTTCGTACCGGATTTGGAACGAATGATCACCTACAGAGCATTAAAACGGAAATAGAAAAGACTATCGAATACAATCGACCACTCGTTTTGGCTTTTGTAGATTCATATACAGCCTTTGACACGGTAGAATTTTACAAAATATTGGAAGCACTACAAGCATGCCGCATTGACTACCGATATAGAAGGTAAATTTACAATACATACAAGATCGCAACTATGTCGGTGAAACTACATGAAAACACGGATCATATCCCAATCGGCAGAGGAGTCAGACAGGGTGATACCTTATCGCCTAAACTGTTTACCGCAGTACTAGAATATGCTTGTAAAAAAGTTGACTGGGAAGTGAAAGGCCTGAACATTGACGGTAGAAGATTAACAAATTTGAAATTCGCAGACGACATAGTTTTGTTCTCGGACAACCTCAAGGAGATATGTACAATGCTACATGAGCTCCAGTTAGTGTGTGCTAGTGTGGTTCTTAAAATAAACATCTCCAAAACTAAATTCATGACAAACCTAGTACCTAGCGGAAATATCAATATCGAAAACAACGAAGTAGAGCTGGTGGAAAAATACATATATTTTGGACACGAAATAAAGATCATAAGAGACAACCAAACATGCGAACTACGAAGAAGAATAAACCTAGCATGGGCAGCCCATGGAAAACTCAAAGACATATTTAAAAACGATATACCAATTTCTTTAAAACGTAAAACATTTGACCAATGTGTATTGCCTGTAATAACCTATGGTGCCGAAACCTTGACATTGACAGCTACAAGTTCTAAAACGCTGCATATAGCTCACAGACAAATGGAAAGGTCAATGCTGAGTATGTCGCTTCGTGACCGAGTTAGAAATGAAGACTTAAGCCGAAGAACAGGAGTTACCGATGTAATTTCCCGAATTGCCACACTGAAATGGAACTGGGCCGAACACGTCGCCCGAATCAGTGATGAAAGGTTAGACAAAAGAAGTAGAAAAAGACCCCCTACTCGTTGGATTGACGATCTCAAGAAAATGTCAAGAAGTTGGATGAAAAGTGCTCAAGATAGAGCACAATGGACAAAAATGAGGGAGGCCTATGTCCAGCAGTGGACGCAAAGGGCTGGGTGATGATGAGTTGTTTAAACGGTATTATACATTAACATTACCATAATTATATATATTCGAGTTATGTGTATATATTTTTTTTGAACAGAAATAAGTTTTTTTACAAATTGCGACACACACAATGTAAATTTAGATCATTTTCCTATTTTACATAAACAAAATCATATTTAATATTACTCTCCGGATAATTTGGGCGTTACAGCTGTTAGTAAGTCCCGCATCATGTCAAATAGTACAAAATTCCAAAAAATTTTAAATATTTTTAAAAGCAGCACCTGCTGGAGGTAAACCTGTACACGATTGTTATTCTTTTAAATAATCAGTGCTATTACGTTTCTTTAATGTAAAATACTTTGATTTCCAGGGACGAAAAATCTCACCAACGTATTTCGTTTCACCGAAACTTCTTCGATGAACGATGGTCCCGAAATCGCACCGTCACATCTCTAGACTGGTCCCCACAATTCCCCGAACTCCTTCTTGCAGCTTACAACAATAACGAAGAATCTCCCAACGATCCGGACGGTGTCGTACTAATTTGGAATACCAAATTCAAAAAGACGACGCCGGAGTACGTATTCCATTGTCAAAGTGCCGTATTATCAGCAACGTTCGCCAGGTTCCATCCGAATCTCATACTTGGAGGAACGTATTCGGGGCAGATAGTGTTGTGGGACAATAGGGTACAGAAAAGGACACCCATCCAAAGGACTCCTTTGTCTGCTTCGGCCCATACAGTGAGTAAATCGAATATTTGTGGTTAAAATCCACTTTTGCAAAATATATTGTGATAAAAACAAAGAACCAATAAAATTTCTTTTTTGTTACAAGTACCGTAAAGTTTTGGTATATTTCTAGCATCCTGTATATTGTATGAGCGTCGTAGGCACGCAAAACGCACACAATTTGATCAGTATCTCCACTGATGGCCGACTCTGTTCTTGGTCTCTGGATATGCTGGGTCAGCCTCAGGAAATATTAGAACTACACAGAATGCAATCCAAACCAGTCGCGGTAACATGCTTGGACTTCCCCCATTCGGACGTCAACAACTTTGTGGTAAGTATCATAAAAAAATATGTTCCAACCAAACAAAAAAAGTTCCTCATAATTTGAGCATAAGAATCAGCTGTCGACGTTTTAAAGGCTTTTGAATCAGGTTAAGACTTTTAGAAAAGTTTCCGGGTAAACAGTCCACAATATAGTTTGTACTAAAGAAATTAATCATATTTATGTCCAGGTATAAACATAAATGAACCACTAGAAGAGAGTGCTTTGGTTCTCTTAATTTGTACCTATATTTCTTAATTTTCATTTTGTATATTCTAATTATTGCAAACAATTTATGAAATGAGATTTTTTTTAGGTGGGAAGCGAAGAAGGATCTGCATATTCGGCGTGCAGGCACGGGGCAAAAGCGGGAATCACGGATACTTACGATGGACATCAAGGTCCTGTAACTGGGATCAGCGTGAATGGTGTCCAAGGCGGTATAGATTTCTCGCATATGTTCCTCACGTCGTCGATAGACTGGACCATCAAGTTATGGAGCTTAAAGGTAAATCTGCAGTATATATATATATATATATATATATTATATATATATATATATATATATATATATATGTATATATGTATATATGTATATATATATATATATATATATATATATTACAGGATCCAATTTGTAAATAGAATACATCTTGGAGACGGCTATCGCCGTATTCCCGTCCTCCTCCGCCAATCCTCTCGGTCCAAGGCATGCTCCTCCTCTAACCTCTCGATTCCATTGCTCTTCTAATACCTTCATTCCATGAGCGTCGAGGTCTACCTCTTTTTCTTCTACCAGGGGGCTTCCATCTGTGAAGTTTTTGGGGCCAACGTTCGTCAGGCATTCTTAACAGGTGTCCAAACCATTTTAAACCTCTTCTTTCTATTCTGTCTATGACCGTATCTGTAGCATTCATCTGATTTCTTATAGATTCGTTGGTTTTCCTTTCCAGCCTTGATGTTCTAGCACTTCTTCTCAAATAATCCATTTCAACTGCCAACAATCTTCTTTTCAGGTCTGCATTAATTGTCCATACTTCAGAGCCATAACAAAGAACTGATTCAACCATCGTTTGCCCTATTCTTTTTTTGTTCCTTTTGGAAATGTTGCGATCCCACCATAAGGAGTTCAAACATCCTACAATTTTACGTCCCTGATTAATTCGGTGTTTAATTTCGGTTTCACCCAAGCCGTTCTTATCAATGAATGCACCTAAATATTTAAATTTTTCCACTTGTGTGATTTCCACGTCCTCGTCTATCAACACTTCAAACCTTGCATCTGAATTGATAACTAGATATTCCGTTTTCTTCATGCTAACTTTTAACCCCTATTTTACATATTCTCTGTATAGACGCTTTATCATAAATTCTAGATCATAAGAATCTTGAGCTAGAACGACTTGGTCATCCGCAAAGTTCAGGGAGAACAGTACGTCATTTCCTATTGGGATTCCCATTCCTTGGCAGTGGTTTTTCCAATTTTGAAGGGCTGCCTCAATATATAAATTAAACATTAAAGGTGACATACTGCATCCTTGTCTCAGTCCTTTAGTTACTTTTATCGGCTCTGATAGTCTATTTCCGATTTTTAGGTAAGTGGTGTTATCCCTGTATACTTCTGTGATTATTCCTAAAAGGTGTGGACTAATGCCGAGTTGTTGTAAAGCTTGCCACAATTTAGGCCTTGGTACTGTATCATACGCTTTTTCTAGATCGATGAAGGCTAGATGTACTTCGTTACCAACCGCTATTCTTTTTTCTATTAATTGTTGGAGTATAAACAAGTTATCAGTGCAAGATCTACCAGGCGTAAATCCGCTTTGGTCTTCGCTAATTAGATGTCCTACATCATCTTGTATTTTTCTATTTATTATCTTTCCAAACAATCTGCCGAAAGTAGGTAGGACACTCAATCCTCTGTAGCAGTTAGGATCTTTTCGATTACCCTTTTTAAAGATGGACACTTGGTGAGCGGTTTTCCATTCCGATGGTATTTTAATTTGTTGGCAGCATTGATTCATTAGAAAAGTTATTCGTTCGATTAGAAGTGGACCTCCTGCTTTAAGTAGCTCTACAGCTATATTGCCAGGTCCTGAAGATCGCCCGTTTTCATTTTAATTAGCGCAGTACGGACCTCGTTGCTGGTAGTATTAATGTTACTATTTGTTTGTCTCTCCATACTGTATTCTTCTCCCATATATTCCAATCTGGACTCTTGGAGTAAATTATTTTCATATAGAAATTAAGTTGCTTAATGAGTTATGGGTGTTCTTCTTTAGGTTAGTGATAGTTCTCCATGCTTCCGTTGTCTGAGAACCACCCATTAAATTTTCAACTTGGACACATTTTTGTTCCCAGAAATTGTTTTTTGCTTCTTTTATTTGCTGGCGTACTTCTCCGTTTTTCATTTGATATGATACTCTATTGCTAGATGTTTTATTTGTTAGCCATTTTTTATATAATTTGTTATTTTCTTGTATCATTTCTTTTACGTTTTCTGTCATCCATGGTGGTTCGTGGTGTTTTTTGTCGTTGTTTTCTGTTCCTAATACTTCATAAGCAATTTTTTTTATTATCATTTTCAGGTTATTGTATTCTTGTTCTACATCCATATTTCTTTCTATCTCATTTAGTTCCCTTTCTAATCTACATTGAAAAATATGTTTAATACTTGGTTGGAATAAAAGATGCAATTTATATCTCTCCGTTTTGTACTGCGTAGTATTGTTTCTCTGACTTTCGGTGTTATGTTTGTTGTTTTGTTTAAAGGGGCACAAAATATTAGTTAAAAGAAAGTAATGGTCTGTCCCACAGTTAGACCCTCTTTTTACTCTGCAGTCTTGGCACTTAAATTTTGAGTTCTGTCTCATTATTATATAGTCTATGATCGACTTCTGTTGGAGTGAAGGTCGTTCCCAAATGTATTTATGAATATCGTTATGTGGGAATTGGGTGTTCATTATTTTTAAACCAAAAAGTTGACAGAACTCAATTAAACTGTCCCCTGAACTATTTTTAACCATTTCTCTGTATCGTCCCACCACTTCATCGTTTATTTGAGAACCTACTCTGGCATTTAGGTCTCCTAACAATATTATTTCTTGATGGCTTTTTATTTTATCACAGATATTTGATAACTCTTCATATCTGCACTATACAGTCATATATTTTTAAGACAATTTAAGACCAATTTACAAGCAACTTTTTGATTTTTTTTTTTTTAATTCAGCTCTAGCATTTTCTCTCTGGCTTCTCTTTGTGCTATCTTTGTTCTCTACTTTGATATGTGGGGATGTTTCAATTAATTATGGTCAAACAAATGAAGCGAACTGTTTGTTTTTTCATTTTTAACAATTTTGATAATTTTATAAGCAGATCATGGATGTTTTCCGAAGCGTCTACATAAAATTGGAGTTCTCCCAACAGACGGATGTGAGTGTGGAAATAGTAGAGCTTATCTAAATCACATATTATTTAACTGTCCCTTATATGTCAATACAATTACGTGGTTGCTTCAAGAATTACTGAAAGCAGGTTTAAATATGTCATTAGACTCAAATGTACTATTCTTCTGTGTGCAACACCATTTTGGTTAAGTGTGACATTAAGCTGATGAATCTATAGTTATTACAGTGTTTGGGTTCTTGGTTTTTGGTATCGGAACAAAGGTCGATAGCAGCAATTCTGTTGGTATCTCACCAGATTTGTATATGTTGTTAAAGAGTATAGTTATTGCACTTAAATTGTCTTCGTCTATAAGTAAATCAGCTCGATAGATACTTCATCTGGCCCAGGGGCTCTGCCAGTTTCTGTGTTGTTTATAGCATGTTGGACTTCAGATTTTAATACTATTGTAGCTTCATCGTTATCAATTTGTGTTGGTTCCATTTTTGTGTCATTGAAAAGATCTTCAATATATTTAGTCCATACTTGTATTTCAATTGGGTTGTTCATAGGTCTATTGTTTTTGTCAATTAATGTGCCTTTGTGCCCAAGACTACGATGTAGTGCATTAAAGCCCTTCCCCCTTTTTAAATTCAATGTTTGTTTCGTCCCTTCTAAGTGTTTTCTGTTTTAGTGTGTTTGAATTGTCCTAATTGTTTGCATTTTAATATATTTTATTCACTTGACTTTCCAATAATTTACTAATTGCCAATAGAACTTTATCAAAATAATTTGATAACTACAGGTTGGAAAATAATTGCACACCCACACAATTTTACATCCAAACATATTCATTGTCATAAAACTGTCACCTTCTTAAAACAATTACTCAATAAATAACACATATTTCAAAAATATATCTCTCGAATAAATATAAATAGCTTTTAATAACACAATGATATATTACATTACTTTCATTTAACAAACAATCACACACATATCTCTTCTTCATTGGATCAAATCTATCTCCTCAAGAACTTCCCGTTTACTGTCAAACAACTGCAATAATAGAATTGAGTTCTCCATTCAACAATATATAGTAGTTTCAACCATGTTCTACCATCCATCAATTAATAGAGTACCGGCATCATTTGTTTAACTTTGTATCGAGACCTGAGGATGCTTTGCATATTGTAGAAAGCGAAACCGGTCGTCAGATAGTTAAATTAAATTGATTGTGAGTAAGTCTTATTTATTATTTCTTTACCTATTTGAAATGGACTCACACAAGCAACACATTCATGATTTTCTTTTATCAGTATACTTACACCTGCTGCTGTTCTTATCTTTTCCTATTTCACTATATAAATGAACAAAATCTTTAAACTCATCTATCCCATTCCATTTTAGTGAAAGGATTCTTATTGAGCGCTCACAACGAGGTGCCTACCCTTACTCCGATCATAGGATCGTGCTATATTATCGATCGCCAGTAAAATAAATGCTTTGTTTTTAAATGCGATAGTTCACTGTCACTGTTATTATCTCGGCTAGGATACAATCCTTACATCTAATCTCTTAATTTTTTTCTACACCTCATCTAACTTAGTCCGAATACCTTGCACATTTCAAAAGTCATTAACGTCTTCGGTAATCTGGGCCGTTTTTCCCTTAGGATTTGTTCGGTCCATTTTTGTTTTCTAGTATTAAAAGGAGTTAAATTCTCCAGTAGGTTTATATGACTCTTTAAGAAGTCAATCAGGGAAGTCAGGGGGTATTCTTTAGGCTGTTCTTTTAAAATCTATACAACATTATCCTTGGTGGCATAATATAGAAGAGGCTACCCGGTGTGTGCACAGTAACACTAACTGAGAAACTGGACTATTTTTTTCAGTCATTATAAGTTTGATTTCTATCATTTTCATATTATTCCTGTCTTATGAGACTCAAAAAATATTTGAGAAGCATTTCTTCATCTTTTTTGTCACTATGAAATGTAGACGAATCCGAAAATAAATTAAGGATATTTTTATGCTATTGTTCCAAGATCTAAACCATACCTAACACTTTGAAAGCTTATTACACGAGGAACCAGAGACAACAAGAGATTATCCTTGGAGAGAAAAGCATACCATAATGCTGTAAATTTCATATAAAAATAAGAAAATTAACAAAAAATTGTTATTCTAAAGATACTTCTACGGAAGTTCACTTAAAAATTCTTTATACTTTCTTATAAAAATGGTGAGTTTTTGTTTTTATTTCTTATTCCTTTCAGGATTCAAAACCAATATACTCATTTGAAGACAACGGCGACTATGTTCTCGACGTGAAATGGTCACCTACGCATCCAGCCCTATTCGCAGCAGTAGACGGCAGTGGTCGATTAGATTTGTGGAACTTAAATCAAGATACGGAAGTGCCTGCGGCTAGTATCAACGTAGAAGGGAACCCCGCATTGAACAAGGTCTCATGGACCCCCAACGGCCTTCAAGTAACAGTCGGTGATAATCAAGGAAAGATATGGGTGTACGATGTCGCAGAGGTAAGTCTTACAGCACATATCATTCTTAACAGTCATTCACAAAACCCATACTTGAATAAAATTATATATTGCGCCTATCGAAAGCTCTGATGAAATTAATAAATGTCTTTTGCAGACTTTTGCCCATCCTAGGCACGACGAATGGAACAAATTCCTTTATACGACGCAAGAACTAAGGAATAACCAAGTCGATGATGATCTAGAAAAATTAAATATTTCTGTACCGAATACGTCGCTAGGCAACATGACTTCTCTATCGTTAACGCCCCTTCGATAAGTAATTTAAATAAATCCATAGTCTAATTATATAATTAAATAACGAGGACGAGGCAGATGTATAATCTATTGAGCCACAAGATAGGAGGAGGTAAAAAGTCACATGGTTTTGAGTCTGTGATAAAAGAGGGACGTAAGTTTATTGTAGAGTACCTTTTCCTTCTGCTGTAATGCATTTTGCAATTTTGTTATTTTCTTCTATGATTTAAAATATTTATATGCCGGCAAGTAGTTTATTTCTCTTAATTGATAAAAAGCTGTTTTGTGAACAGAAATAATACCAAAAGAATCCAAAGCAAGAACAAAAATATCACATGAGGAAATTCTGTTCTATCGAAGGCAGGGATAGAAGAAAACATATGTAAAATGCAAAATTCCGGTGTATTGTCTTTATTTTGTATAGTAACTTCCTTCTTGTGATTTGATGGTTTAAACAAAGCCCCCTACTCGTTCATAGCGCTTCTAGCCCATTTATGCATGCGAAAAATCTATAAATACCATTGGGAGATGTGTGTAGTGTCCCTGCCAAAAATAACCCATGTTAAGTTAAAATTGGTACTTAACAGAAAAATTGTAACAACACGAACCGTTTTTATTGCTAAGTTTAATTTATATATTTGAGAAAAATGTAGCTTATATTCTGTAAATAAAAAACTGTTTTTTTATTAATGCAAACATGGCTCATTTATTTTTTTTATATAGCTCTCTACAATATTTTGTATTAAAATAAATTCTAGTGTGATACTTTTTTAGAAAACTATGTAAAATTGGGAAAATGCTGGAAAGCTGTTGTAATCTTGCACAAACCAATAACTATCTATTTTCTTCACAGAAAACATGAATTTATTTATAAAAGTCTGATAAAAATGCGTTCTAGTATGATTTAAAAATGTGGAATGTGGAATGAAGTGTTTAATTACTGTGGAAATTTGGAAAATGCTGAGAAATTGTTGTAATTTTGAAAAAACATTAGCTATCTATATTTCTTTAGAGAAAACATGAATTTAAAAACAGCTGGAAGAACGTTTTAGTATGATATAAAAAACTCTGTGAATTTAAGAAAATGCTGAGAAACTGTTTTGCTGTGAAGCTATAATTTTGAAAAATTGTCAAAAATTAAGAAAATTCTGAAAAGGTATTTTTGCCAGAGAAAACATGAATTTACTTATGAAAGACAGCTGAAAAGGCGTTCTAGTATGATACCTTTTTAAAAAAATTTGTGAAAATTAGAAAAATACTGAGAAACTGTTGTAATCATGCAAAAGCCAATAACTATCTGTTATTCTTTAGAAAAAACATGAATTTACTTTCAAAAAGATATCTGAAAAAGACGTTCTAGTATGATACTCTTTAAAAACTCTTTCAAATAAGGAAAATGCTGAGAACCTGTTGTAATCTCTAAACAATATCTATCTATTTTTATTCAGAGAAAATAAAATTTAGTTGTAGGATAGGTGAAAAACTAAAAATTGAGAAAATGCTGGTAAGATGTAATCTGGAACAAACCAATAAGTATTTATTTTTCTTGAGACAAAATGTAAATACGTTCTAGTATGATATTCTTTTAAAAAACTGGGTGAAAATTAGGGAAATGCTGAGAAACTGTTGTGTAATCTTGCAAAACCTAATAACAAAAATATCTATTTTTCTTCAAAGAAAACATGAATTTACTTATAACAGACAGCGGAAGACTTGTTATACATACATGATGCTATAACTAGGTAAAAGAACAAATGCAATCGAGAAGTTATTACCAGTTATGTTTCTAGGATTATATTCCTTCATGAGCATCTTTAAAGAGGTAAGCTGGCTTTAGGTCAAGAATTTTGCTTAAAACCAAAAAAAAAAAAATGAAGAAAGAGAGAGAAACATTTTATTCTAGGATACATAGATACTATATATAGTTTTACACAGTGCTGAATATCAACTTTCTTGGTAGGCAACAACTCAAAAGAAAAAAAAAAGACATGTAAAAAAGGTAATGGTTGATTTTTGACCAGTTGAGTTTTTAATATAAAACCTATCTATGTGTATTGTTACGATATTATAGAACCGTATATTGTAACGATAAGACTACGAAAGAGAGTTGAAATAGTATTATAAAATAATACCTCAATCAACCAAGGGAGCTTATCGTCTATGCTTCGCCTAGCTCAGTCTCTCAAGTGTTAATTTGTCTTGTCTTAAACTATAAATTAAACAATGGAAATTCAGTTGATAACAAATAAAACAATGAATTAACTAATCATATTTATTTAGCATAAAACAAAATAATCATACTTAGTTTGCACAAGCAAACCCTGCCCATAGCTTTACAATGAAATGAAATGATACTTATCAAAATATTACTTATGGCTCCTATGGGTTGCTTGCTTCTGTATAGTATGTTGTTGCCTTCAGAGTATTGCTTGCCTTATGTGTTTGCCATTTGTGTTGTCTTAAAGACAGCAGCAGTCTTAGTTGGTTGGTTTCATATGTGGTTAATATATATACATCGGTTTAGAACGTCTTTCGACGTTGTTCGATACCTAAACACCATCTCTTCCTATCTTCGCAGTCGTTTGTTGTTAAATTTCTTTCGCTCATGGACTTGTTTACGCCGTGTTGCCATTCTAATCTGGGTCTTCCTCTTTTCCTTCAGCCAATCGGTTGCCATTCTAATACTTTTTTGGGGAGTCTTGTTGCTGGCATCCGTTGAACATGCCCATACCACCTTAATCGTTTCTTCTCTATATCTTGAGTTATATGTCCTTCTATTCCCATACGTTGTTTTATTACATCATTTCTGATTCTTTCTCGTCTGGAAGTACCTAAAGATCTTCTCATTGCATTAATCTCTACTGCTTCTATTCGCTTTTTGTTCTTTTCACTAATTCTCCATGTTTCAGCGCCATAAAGAAGAGTAGTTTTAATCATGGTCTCATATATATTAAATTTTCTCCCTTTCGTTATCTCTTTACTCCACAGAATACCATTGAGACATCCTAAGACTTTCGTTGCTTGTGTGATTCGTTTTTCTATATCCCGTGTATCAGTTCCTGTATTGTCAAAGGCAACACCCAAGTAGTCATAGCTCTGACAGCAGGAAATATGTTGTGCGTTTTCGAGGTCTATGTTATCTGACTCGTTTTCAATACAAAGATATTTGGTTTTTGTTGTACCTATTGACATTCATTCCCCAGTCGTTATATTCTTCTATCAGTTTTCTAAGCATGCACTGCATGTCTTCTCTGTTAGTCTCTAGTACTACCTGGTCATCAGTAAACTGGAGTGTATATATACATTCATTGCTAAGCTCTATACCCATCCTATGCACCTTTCTTTTCCATCTTTCCAATGCTGCTGTATATCTTGAGTAAGGTTGGTGAGATACAGCATCCCTGTCGCAAGCCTTTTGTAACCAGGATTTCTTCCGTTAGATATTTCCTGTTTTTATCTGTGCCTTTGAGTCTCTATATAGTTCTTGTACAGCATTTATCAATGTGTGATTGATGTTAGATCTTTTCAACGTTGTCCACAATTTTGTTAAGAGGATGTTAATATGTGGTTAATCCATCGTTTTATTTAATAAATTATCCCATAAACCGAAAGAGATTTCTGCAGACCATGAAATGAACCTTATTTCTTATTTCCTCTTTTATAAATTTCAACTACACAGAAAAAATATCTCACCACGTTAGAAAAACTGATTGACTGAAATACTGGGGAGTGACTACAATGAAGTATAGCGCAGATGTGATAAAACATATGTCTATGATGGAATTAGCTCTTCTGTCAAAATAGAACAGAATATTTTGTCTACCGGACATACAGAGAGAGGTCGCCAACTATTTTTTAAAACGAAAGAATGACAGAAAATAGAATAGTACGAATAGCAAGAAACAAATCGCCAAATGGAAGAAGATCATTGGAACCACCGAGGAAAAGATGGTCAGACAACGTCAATTGAGGCTAAAAACCGAAGTAAAACAGGCATTAAGCCTATTTATAAAGTAGGAAGAAGAAGAAGAAAAATTTCCGAATCATCCTCGCACTCTTGTTTGCTTTATAGTAAATCTACCAGTGACCTTGTCACTGGTAGATTTTTTATGTTTTTAAAGCAACGTGGGTTTTCGACTTCCCTACGAAATTACGAAAACTGTAATGCGTTCCTTAGAGCGCTTTCCACCACTTTGCCTATTTAAATTTTAAAGTTCTGTTTGGTGTCATTTTAAAAAACAATCCAATCTCATCAGCATTGAAAATGTCGTGTGACGCATATCGTGCCTTCAGTCCAGGCCACACGTTTTCTAGCCAATCATCTGTTACGTTTTTGTTCACCGTGCGAACCTCTCCACTGATTTGCCCATAGTTGATCTTGTGCCGCAGCTTCCACTGGCTCAGCCAACCCTCAGATGTCTTGAAATTATCAATTCCAAGCTCAGTTGCAAAAAACCCAGCTTTTGTCCTAACCACAGGCCCAGAAAATGGAATATGGTTAATACGCTGCTGCTGGAACCACTGTAGCATAGCGCGATCTAAATCTTCGTGGTTTCCGCAACTTCTTCTTCTTCCAAAAACAAAACAACCGCTGTATAATGACCTTGCCACTCTTGACTCAGTTAGTCTGAACTTAAAACACAATAACACATTTGTCATCGACTATTAAACACTGAAAAGTCATCGCTATACAGAGACAACGATATTGGTATAGAGAAAGAATTAATACATTGTCCTTATGACGAACCCACCAACGTTTACTATTTTTATCGTTATAGAGGAATTATCGTTATATAGGAAATCGTTATAAGGAGAGACTACTGTACCTATATATAATAAACTTTAATAATACTTTAACGATACCCTTTACGCGCACTCCACAGAATACTGGTATGTATATGTATATGCCGTTATGCGTTCAGTAAAATACCGAACTTTTAAAAATAACGATATATTGAAACTATTCATTAGTTTTAAAAATAAGTAAAAAGTTGAACATCTGAATATAAAATGCATCCGTAATTTGTGAAATTGGTTACTTGAGATAAACATCACTGGGTACACTGTTGTGTTGAGTTTTTTCTTTTCAACAAAAAGAGATATGCTTTTTTATATATCCTTTTTAGCTTATTCTATACTGAAGAGCTTAGTTATTTAATTTAACGTATTGGTAATACAACATTTTACTTAGGATATATTATGGCTAACTGATATTTTGTTGATTTCAACCTCGAAGAAGTGAATAAACATTCACGAAAACGTTATATTCGTACAAACCATTGAAACATTGAGATTTTGATTGCAGATTTTTTCAATATTTATAATTTTTTAAAAAATGGTCAATTTTGTTTTACCATTACAATAAACAAGTTGACAGGGAGTAAGATTTTATCCACTCATTGTATGAGTCCCAGTAACAAAGAAATAAAACAAAATTCAAATCAATTATATGTATATCAAATTAGTTTCATTCATAACAATCTATTGCTCTCAGACATAAAATAATTATGGCACTTTTTGCTGAACTCTGGACCCAATTTCCTGACTGAAGCTAGTGGACCTTGGGCTCTTCTTATAGGCAAATCTTGCACCAAAGCTTCACCGGGCACAGTGCTAGTCCCATAAGCCTGAAAAACACAATCAATAAATTATCATTTAACCCTTTCGGGACCACTTTGCCATAAATTTCTAAATTAGTAATTAATGTGTTTCACTGGGTTAATTATAAGCTAAAATAAAGTGAAAATTGTATGTAATGGTGCTTTTCGAACATACACATTGATGTGTTTACTGCATTATACTGTTGGAAACAATAAGGTAAGTTGACATACAACTATTATTGGTAATTAAGGTATTGGGATAAAACTTTGTTGTATTAAAGTAGTAATTTATGATTACTTAAATATCAGGATATATATGTCCCTCTAGTACTTTTGAACAGTATAAAATAATTCCAGTAGTATTTTTCTAATACAGAAATTGACATTGACTATTGTTGGAGCATTATGACGAACATATCGTCGTTGTTAGTCCAATAGGTCGTATGTCAAAATAGACGATTTTCCAGGAAATGAAAAAATAATATGAATTGTAGAACTTTCGTATATTTGATCTGCTGTTTGGGACAAACTATACTTTTGGCGAAATATATTAATGTTATATTAACTAACTAGGGCTTAGAAACCCATTTTTATTGACATAAGATAATTTGCCTGCTATCGCTTGGTTACATTTTTTGACATATGATGTATTGTAATATTGTATTGTAATAAAGAACCGAGACCTAATTGTATGATATCTAAATATTTTATTTTCTTAAGTAATAGAAGGTAAACATAAGGCATAAAATACAAAAATATTTCTTTATGGAAGTGCAAAATTAAAGCTTATTTATGCGACAAATTTTCATAAAATAATCTGCAATCTGCAGGAATAAACTCTTTTAGTTCTTGTAAATGGGCATACTTAGTACGCTCCCTTATTGAACACGGGCCTTCGTATAGATGAGACAATTAATCATTGGTAATTATCGAACGCTGAAAATGAGGCATGTCGACTTCTGTTTTACGGCCGGGCCTTATGGTAGAATAAAAATTTGACCCAAACTTCAAACAAAAAATCTGTGTGCATCAATTCAACTACTTGAAAAGGAGAGTGAATATAACTTGCTTTTCTTATAATACGCAAATAATCAGAAGGGAGATAGATTTGCTTTCTGCGTCACAACTACTTTTATTCTATTGAACTATGTACTGAGTCTAACCATTTGGATATGGACCTACTTCCAGATATTTCTGCTCTGAATGCATCTGAATACTTTTGGAAAATATTGAGTAAGGCGTTGGATAGTTTGATGTTTCTATTTTGATAGCAACAGCCATCGCTCCAAATGATTTTTGTTGGACACTGTTCATTAATCTTTTAGTTTAGAAATTTTGTGGTGATGGATCCAAAATATCACGTTCAAGACGTCCTTGGCCCTCGTGCCATACAAAGCAGGTGTCTTAATTCTAAGGTCATAGTAGGTGCAGTTATGCACTTTTAACTTTGTTTTGTAGTAGTTTGTGCAGTATTTAATCGAGTGGCTAAAAGCACTGCTTGAAGATCTACTGCAAAAACTAAAATATTCTTACTTTCTTGGTACTCGGTTGTGTCATTTTCTTTTTCTTGTCGAGCTTCCGATTTCCTAAGTAGGTGAGTAAACTCCTAAGTAAAGTAAGACTGGTAAAGTTCTTCCAATATGGATCCATTCTTGTACCCCGAACATGTATTGCACTGATATTTCTTTGGTGTTAATATTTCTAAATTTAGCTTTTTGAATACTTTGAAAAAAGTGGTCCATTATGCTGTCTTTTTGCCTGCTTCCCGACACTTTTCTTGATACATTCGATAAACACGTCTGTAGCTATCCCATGGTTGTAAATACAGTTTTCTAGTTAAAGCTTTACAGTAGTTATGAGACTCTAAGTGTGGTAAATTTGAAAGAAACTCTTCAAGGTCTTTTAAATTACTTTGAATGAGCTATTTTGATTCCTGAGTGCCAGGAATCTTTCTAGAAATTCTAGTTCTAATTTAGATCTATTTTATGGCTTTACATACAATTGACTATCAATGAAGTAGGTTCTAAAATACTTTCTAATTTTATGTGACTTTGGAACAAGCAAAACTTTTTATATCAAGAAAGATATTTTTCTCTAAAACTAAAGTCTCCCTATTGGCACCCTATTTATGGACACACTGTATGTTAAAGAAATTCTAGTTCTAATTTAGATCTATTTTGTAATATGCTTCAATACACTGCCAAAAGTAAAATATTGCTGGTTAAGGATGTTTAAGGAAATTATTTTATAAACAAATACTTAATATGTTGCGAAACAGATTGATATTTCTTATTCTGAAACTAAGCAACCGCAACCTAAGCGTTAACCTCCGATGGCGCGCCACGAAATGCTACGTACTCTCTATGCTACTTTACGGAGTAGAATGGTGGACGTTAACAGCAGCAACTATAAAGAAGTTAGCAGCTCTAGAAATGTGGCTGTAGTATCGACGCATACTGAGAATACCTTTGACAGACAGAGTGACCAACACAGAGGTATTAAGACGAATGGGTAAAGAGGTGGAATTGTTAACAACTGTTAAAAGAAGGAAAGCGTCATACCTGGGCCATGTGTTCCGTAATGATAAGTATAGTCTGCTACAGTTTACCGTGGAAGGCAATATTGAAGGTACAAGAGATTTGGACAAAAGGAAGAATCTGATGATGAATCTGAGTTATATTTTAAAGTTTCAAATATATCTGATTGTCTAAGGATTCAGGAAGATCTTACTTCCCTGTATAGTTGGTCTCTTTCCAATGGTCTCCAGTTAAATAAAGATAAGTGTTTTATTATATCCTTTAGCAAATCTAAAAATAATGTGTTTGACTATCACATTAATACAAGCCTTCTATCAGGAGTGACTGAAATAAAAGATTTGGGAGTGTTATTTGACAGTTTCTTGTCATTTATCCCCCACATCAACAATTTGTCAAATAAAGTTTACCGAAATCTAGGTTTTATCACAAGAAACTATCGAGATACCCACATATAGAACTTTATATCTTACTTTCGTCCGTAGCATCCTATCTTACGCTTCTATAGTATGGTCACCATACTATTTTAACCATATTCACACCCTTGAAAAAATTCAAAATAAGTTTCTCCAGATTTGTGCTTATAGATTAAACTTAAGGAACATGTCTTTGGTAGAACTAAGGTCAAGGTTAAATATCAGTTCTTTAGAAGACTACAGAACTAAATGTGATCTAGTTTTTCTCCATAAACTACTTGACCATACCACTGACTGTTCTGATTTATTAAGTCTTATCAACAGATGTAACACTAGAATTCTTAGAGATATGCCTTTGTTTTCCATAAAACACTATCACACTAACTATGGCAAATTCTCTCCCCTTAACAGGATTCAGATCCTGGAAAATGACTTGCCAATCTCATGATCTGGTGGATATAAAATCTGTAAGATTTAAGCACTGTTTGACTGAGTATATTATGAATCAAAGATGAGGAACATTTAACTTGGAGTATTTATTTTATTAAGATGAGTAGCAATCTGATTCTCGAAGCGTGAACATGTACCGTCATTCAAAGAGCTAGAGAATTTCCTTATTGTAAAACTACCTAATTAACTAGTAATTATCTTATCAACATCAAAAAATTGTTTAAGTGAAAAGTAACAAAAACTAAGTGAATAGAAAAACAAAAGAAATATGTTCCCTTCGGGGAACTTATTAGGATTTGATAATAATGGCCAACCAGTTTATCAACAAGTAAATACTATACAGAATGTCCCAACAATAAATAACCAGAACCAGTCAAACCAAACAGCAATAAAACCGCAAGTACCATTTTTGTATTTTAATCAAACACCATCTAACCAGATAACAAATCAAATGGCATGCCTAAACCAAATACCTATTCCAACCCAAATAGCTATACCAAACCAAGTACAATTTCCTAGTCAATCAACTGCACAAAATATTCAAAACAGTCAAAACCCAATTCAGTCCCAATACACAACAGTATCCACAAACCCTCAATGCTCACTCTCATCTTCACAAAACACCAATAACTACACGGATAGTGATAGCGACATAGAACTTAATGAAACAGAAAACGAAAATAAACATCCTTGGCAAGAAGTTGGCAATAGGAGAAAAAGGATGAAAAGACAAACAACTTCAGAAATTCCCAACCAAATCCAAACACAAAACAGATTTGATTCCATCTCAAAAGAAAATCTAGCTGAACAAACAGACAATTTATCAAATACACAAAACACAAATATAACCAAAGAAGATCCCTCACCGCCACCAATCTATATTTATGGAGTTACTGACTATAGTGCTATGATAGCAAACCTTTCAACTGCAACTGCGGCAGAAACCTATCACACCAAAACCACTTCAAATAATACAGTAAAAATTAACCCCACAAACTCCAGACACCTACAGGACACTCATACAGCACTTTAGAATAGAAAACATTGTACATCACACTTACCAACCAAAACAAGAGAGGGCCTATAGAGTTGTCATAAGAGAATATACACCATTCAATACCCACAGGAGATATCTCGCATGAATTAAATAATAAGGGTTTTAAAGTTCCCAACATAATTAATGTTAGACATAGAGTTACCAAAGAACCATTGACCTTATTCTTTGTCGGCATAGAGCCAAATGAAAACAACAAAATATATTTAACCTGCAAGTCCTACGAAACTGCATAATAACAGTAGAACCACCTAGAATAAAAAATACAATAGTACAATGCACAAGATGTCAAAAATACGGGCACTCAAAAAGTTACTACCTGAGACCATTCGTCTATGTTAAATGCGGTGGATCACATGACACAAAAACCTGCAATAAAGCACGCTACACACCAGCAACATGTGCCTTGTGTAATGGCAATCATCCAGCAACCTTTAAAGGATGTGCTATATATAAAGACCTAGTAAATTCGAAAAACAAAAATATAACAAGCAGCATTCCTATATCTAGAGTTGCAAGCCTTAATAATAATAACACTAATGCTCACCACATACGCCAATCATATGTAACATATGCTCAAGTTGCAGCAACTAATACTTCTTCACAAAACAACAACAATAATTCAGACATTTCAAATAAACCTACAGAATTTCTCAACGAATTTAAAAATATGTTTGCACAATAGATAAACCAAAACAGCATGATACTAAGCATGCTTACAACAGTGATAAATATAACAGCGTAATGGCTAACTCACTTAGAATAGCAGAGTGGAACGTAAATGGTCTAGCAAACCATGTGCAAGAAATTATACTATTTCTAAAATTAAACAAAATAGACATCCTACTTATATCTGAGAGTCACACAACTGAGAGGTCTTTTATAAAAATTCCACACTACTCTGTCTATTATGCAAACCATCCAGACGGAACAGCCAATGCTGGTTCAGTTGTAATAATTCGTACAGCTATAAAACACTATGAACTTGCTCCATATATCACCAACAAAATTCAGAGTACTATCATAAAAGTACATACGCTTACCTTCCCATTACCAATAGCTTCTATCTACAGCCCACCACGCCATACCATCCATCTGAAGGCATACAGACGACAGTTTTTTGAACTTGGCTCACATTTTCTAGTGGCAGGGGACTGGAATGGAAAACATACAACCTGGGGAGCAAGACTGATATCTCCAAAAGGCAGAAATCTATTAAAGATCATACAAGATAATAACCTGAAATACCTAACAACTGGTACCCCTACATACTGGCCTACTGATAACAACAAAATTCATGATCTGTTAGACTTTGCTATAACTAAAGGGAATACCTGAAATACACAGCGACATCACCCCCAGTTTTGATCTACATTCGGACCACAGTCCCATCTTGATTACCTTGGCTATGTTTCAGTAACACGAATTGGGTTCAATTCAAAGAAGAAATAAATAAAAAAATATATCTTGACATTTGACTCAAACACAAAAACGATATTGAAGAAGCTGTAAAATATCTAACGGAACAAATACAACAGGCCTCTTGAAAAGCTACTCCTGTAAAGGAAAAAACCATTGATGAAAGGTATAGTATACCCCTCCAAATTAGAACACTAGTAGAAGAGAGAAGAAGAGCCCGTCGCAAATGGCAAAGAACAAGAAACGCGATAGATAAAACAAATCTAAACAGGCTCACACACAGACTTCATTCCGCTATTAAAACATGTAAAAACGAATCTTTTGAAAGATATGTCACAAACCTTTCTCTTGACGACAACTCTCTTTGGAAAGCCACAAAGAAACTCAAAAAGCCGGTAGTAATGAAATCACCAATTAGGAACAATGATGGAAGCTAGGCTCGATCAGATATAGAAAAAGCCAACAGATTTGCTGAACATCTATCAACTGTCTTCTCCACCCCACAGGCCAACGATATTAACGTCGAGAAAATTAGAGACTTACTTAATGCACCCTGTCAACTATTATTACCACTAAAATACTTCTCACAAAATGAAGTCTGTAACCAAATTAACATGCTTAACCCTCATAAAGCTCCAGGATTTGACCTTATAACTGGCGAAATCTTAAAAAAACTCCCAAGAAAAGGTGCCATCCTAATAACCATTATTTTTAATAGCCTCCTGAGGCTTTAAAATCTTCACTGCTGATATTCCTATTAGCAAAAGCGAAAATACACAAATGGCAACATTTGCGGATGACACTGATATGCTAGCATCAGATATTAATGAAATATTAGCATTTAACCAATTGCAAAATCATCTCAATGAACAAGTCTTGTCAAGTAAATTTCACAAATCGAAGAATTAGATGTCCACAACTACACCTAAATAATTCACCTATACCAATAAAAACAGAAGTAAAGTATCTGGGCCTTTATCTAGACGAAAAACTTACTTGGAAATCACATATTACAGCCAAACAACAACACCTCCATATACAAGTTAAAAATATGTGCTGGCTAATCAACAGAAGATCGCAACTTTCATTAGAAAACAAACTAACCATCTATAAAACTACTACCAGTGTGGACATACGAAATTGAACTGTGGGGCTGTAGCAAACAATCCAACACCAAAATACTGCAGACATTCCAGTCAAAAATTATTCATATGTTAGCTAAAGCCCCATGGTATGTGTCAAATCAAACCCTGCATGCAGATCTCAACATCCCCTTCATCAATGATGTGATTGCTGACCACTCCAGAAGATACATGAATCTCAGAGCAGACGAATTATTCAACCCCCCACTGGTTGACAGATATCTAAAAAGACTGGCCAGAAGACCTAGACCTTTCATGCTAGTCTACTGTAACATCTTTTTTTTATCTTTATCACTATAGTATACAACTGGGACAAAAATAGAATAGAGACTTACAGACTCCTATAGAGTGTAAATTAGTAAACAATTAAAAATATTCTTATTTATATAATAATTAGTGGTATGAAACAATAAACAATTATTTTAGGCTATACAAAATTGATCCTGAATGGATTATAAAAGTGTTAATTAAGTACCTGAAATAAGGATGACATTGTGGGATAGACTGTAGTGATGGCCTCAGCTGTCTCCAATCTAGCTAATGGAAATTTTGTCAACATTTGGCGCCACAACCTGTTCAATCCATTACCGTTTTTATCTATTTTTACCACATCTTTGTTAACATCATTGAAGTATTCATTTTGTTGTTTATCTTTCTCCTCCCTTTCTGCCCTAGAGTATACCAAAATTAAATCATATGTGGCAGCTATTATCTATTTTATCTTACTTATAAGGATAATAAGAAACTGCTTTAGTAGCCATGTAAATAAATGAAGCTACATCTTCCTTCGTTTTTACAAAATTCCAAAATGTTGGGAAAAACATTTCTGCTTCCAAAATCTCTAATTCCTGCTCATCTGTAGGTTTGGAAATGCCATAAACAAGAATGGTGAGATGATCAAAATTTGTAGAGGATTTAAGACTTGTTAAAATTGGAATTAAGTTACCAAATTGTGCAGGAGTTACAATTTTCATATAGTGTCCCTCTTCACTCTCAAATTCAATTATTTCCTGAAAAACAAACAAGTTTTTATTATGGTTAATACAATTATGCCAAATTACTAACCTCATCTTCTATTTTTTCAATTTTTCTTGTCCAAGATATCAAATCTTGTGAAGAAGGCTTCTCTACATATGAAATACCTTTGTTTTCTAAATATGTTTTAATAATTTCTCCATAATCTATGTTGTTAAGTATTGATTGATCTATGTTCAGTGTTAGTTCCTTAAGAAATATGACAATAAAGATAATTTTAATAAAATTAAACATATAGGTAATCATATTAAATATTACCTCTATGGATTTTTCTGGGTCTCTACTATGCTTTTGAATGGTTTTTTGAACCTTTTTTAGATTATTCTCTTTTTCTGATTGTTTCTTTTTCTTTTGCTTTGGTGAGGATATCTCTTTTGTAGGATCATTTTCAGTGTTTTTCTTCCTTGGAGCTCTTATTTTCTTTGGACTACAGAATATATTAGGTATAATTATTATATGCTTTAATAAATAAATAAATGCTTACATACTTTGTAATAAAATATACTATGGTAAGTACAAAAATATTACCTGTCAGTGTGTGTTTCTTGTTTATCACCTGTTGCTATAATATCAAAATTTTGCATTTCAAAAATTGTATTATCTTTTTCTAATGCTATCTCAGTACTATTTTTATGCGTAAAGATGACTTCAGCCTTATTCCTGTTAGATTCAGACTCATCATCACTGGATAATACAATTGTTTCTTGAAAATTTCGGCTTGTACAAGTATATGCTGGAATTTGAGGATGAGATTCATCTTGGAAAGGTGAGGTACTCGGCGATAAACTTTTAGGTGGTTCGCATTCCTCGAATTCAGATAAATCATATATGCTCTTTTCTTTACATTTTGTAATACTGTTATCTATAATAGTAGTATCACTGTCATTGCTGCTTAGTGAGCAGGTATCAATGTCTTTTCCATTCATACTAAATCAGTAATATTTAATTTATTAAGTATTATTTTTTACATTATCTTTAGTTTGTTTACTTTGTTTGGACATTTAAAGTGTGGTTATGTATGGTTGGTTAGATCATATGTCAACTTGTCAACAACCACTGCACACTCCCTCCGCGCAGGAAAGAGACTAGCAGCGCCACCATACGAATGGGCGCCAAATCCGAACATGATTTGGCCTTGGCTATCTCTGTTACCAATCTAGGTAAATTTATCTATGTCAATAACCCAACCCATCATCCATCATCTACCGAAGGCAACCAGAAAATAGCCGCAAATATCTACATCTATCATTGAACAAAATATTTCGGTTTGGCAGTATATTCACAGAATAATAAACAATCAGAATGCCCACCCTGCTTGAAAAAATAAGTACTCGCAAACGGAATCAGCCATGTTTTGGTCGGAACCAGTGCTGTTCAATGACAATTTATCTGGCGTGCATAGAAGACTAATTAACCCGGTTTAATATATTTACGGCAACTACAGACATAATAATATATGCACTATACTTCATCTAATTTAGATAACGACTTACGTCATTATCTACGTCAGAGATCGAAGTTGACATAGTTGCCAAAGTATAAAAAAATCCTGACTCCATTTTAAATCAAATAGATTACATAATTATTGCAAAAGTATTACCATCTCTTTACAACGACTATTTAAATTCTTACGTGACATTTTTTGAAATAAAACACACTAATTTTGTTCTAAAAAGAACAGATTTTATTAAATAGTTAAAAGTATAAAACAAGAGATATTCACTTTAAAATTCAAAATAATGAAGTACAAAAAGTGTCAACACCGCAACTGTCAAATAAGTGTTACCAACTTATGCCAAAATTTTACCTTCGTTCGATTACAGTTACAGTGTGTTCCGAACAAATGTTCTTATAAGGAAAAAGAGAGAACAGGTAACGTCCATTTAATAAACTTTCGCAAAGTGAGTCCAGTTTCAATGTGACTGCCATATTTTGTTGCCTGTACGTTGCCCATTACTAAAGCTTATTTCAAATCTAGTGGCGAGCCCTTTCACGAAATAGTTAATCGCGCAGATAATAGAATATCGATGATCAGACCGATGTATTGGTGTTGCAATGTTAAACAAATTAAATTATTTCAAATTGCACTAATTACAAGATTATTACTCACTTAAAAAATCTTCATTGTACAGAGATAGTTTAATAGATACCAAACTTTTTGTTTGTTATAATACCATGTTTAATAATTGATACTGTATAAAGTTTGGTAAAAGTAAATTTCTAATTTAGTATCAGTTACCTTAAAACCGTAATTATAAAGTCATTATTAATGACTCCCTAACGATTCGTTAAGTATATACAAAGAACTGATAAGAATTATTTCCGAGAATTTCCAGTCACTAGATTTTAAACGAGTTCGTAATTTAGTCTCATTATGTTGTTGAGCCTCAACAAGAAAGGTACTATCACGTGTATTAGAACTATTTTGTAGAATGGAGATGGTTAAGTTTAGTACGAGTAAACAGATCAGATTGACACCGGAATCCAAAGGAATAGTTAACAATGTATTTAAATATAATATGCAAATACTATTTCCTAAAGATAATCGACCCAGTATTAAACAACGTGTGCGTGAATCTACTGGAGTACTTTTACGTACAGTAGAAAGGATCATTCAACAAGTGAGTATGTTAACAAACGCAGAGGCAAATAATACACTAAAATTTCCAGCTACAATACTTGCTAAAAGGAAAGCAACCGTGACAGACTTAAGGGAGTATGACAAACAGTTCATTAGAAATATCATTAATCGTTTTCATGAGAGTGAACGTTGTCGTGTATCATTGAAGCTTTTGCAGAAAAGGCGTGAATAGGTGTACGAGTGGACTGGAAGTGTGAGTTCTCTCTACAGAATTTTGAAAGATTTGGGATTTAAATGGAAGAAAACGAAAGATAATCGATGTTTATTAATTGAACGGAATGATATTCGTGTTCTACGCAATCAATATTTGGACAAAATTAAATATTACAGAAGCGAAGATAAGTCAATTGTATATGTCGATGAAACCTATGTGCATGCAGGACACACTACGCCAAATAGCTGGAAAGATAACAGTGGCAAAGGATTGTTCAAAAACATTTCAAAAGAAATTAGGTTGGCTATCGTACATGCTGGTGGGGAGATGTGAGTCATACTGAATGTCCTTTTTTTTTAAGTCAGGAGCTAAGACAGGAGATTATCATGATGATATGAATTCAGAAAATTATGAAAAATTGATGACAGAACAGTAAATCCCCAATTTTCCTGTTGGATCTGTTGTTGTTACTGATAATGCATCATATCATATTGTACAAGTTAATAATGCACCCACCAGTAACTCTAAAAAATGAATATGATATCTTGGTTGACAGAAAAAAATTTACCATTTGTAACGTCAATGTTAAAACCACAATTGTCTGAAATCATCAAACGACACAAACAAGATCATATTCAATATAAATTTGACAAAGTGCTGCAATAATGTGGACATGTTCGTTCTTTAAAACCTCCGCCATATCATCCAGACTTGAACCCTATAGAAACGGTTTGGACGCAAATAAAAAATAAAGTTGCAAAACAAAACGTTTATTTTAAGTTAGAATACGTAAAAGTGTTAGTGGAACAGGAATTTACTAGAGCAACTGTAGGTAACCGTAAGAAAGTGTGTGAACATGTTGTCAAGGTTGAAGATAAGTATTTGGAAAGTGAACGTCGTATAGATGTAATTACTGAAGAATTAAGTATTGATTTAAATGATTCTAGTGACGACGACATTGCATCTGATTATGAAAGTGAATAATATAATTTAACATTACGATGTACCTATGTAACCTACGTGAATATAAGTTTTCCAAACTGTTCTGTATTTATTTTTTTATATTACAATCATTTCGTATATTCTTCTATTTAACTGTGTGACGTTTAGGTGAGTAATAATATAAATAATAAAGGTTTTAAAGTTAAAACAATATTTGTAATTAATACGTATTTATTAATTCTATAATCTGTAATACGTATCTACTGTTTCACACACAGACAATATTATGTAGTTAATATATTATAATAATATCTAATAAAATGTAGTACAATATTAATAAATTGTGTGTACCTATTTTTAACAATTTGATTTAAATCAAAAGTATTTTTTTGGAACGCCACTGCTTTTTATGCTGAGGCTTTACTGTTCTTAGAAATTTTCCACCACTACAATTGAAACATACTCTACCTTTCGCAGTGTTACCAGGTCTAATGATTTTTCAGTAGATCTACTGATTTCAACCTAATTTCAATTTACTGATTTATTGAAACATTATATCGATGAGGTGAATTATAATTATTATGAAGAAAGTATATAATTTTAAAATTGACTTTTTCATTTCTTGTAACTTAAACTTACATTTTTGGTGTACAAATATCTATTGTGTATTTGAACGTATTTAAGCAGTTGCGATGAATCAATTTTAATTTTTTATAAACCATATTTCTCTCCACCATTGGTAAATTGATTAATAGTTTCATCGTACTTCAATGGTTTCAATATCAAATCGGCCAATAAAAAGTGAAACGGTATATATATATATATATATATTATATATATATATATATATTATATATATATATATATATTATTGTGATATTTAAAGTCTTGGTGCGCCAAGCAATAATTAGCTAATTAATTTTTTGATTAATTAAAATTATTTAAATGATATGATTATGACTCTATCACAATTTTTAATTCTTTTATCTCAGGGTTAAATTCGTGCTTCAATATCTATGCTATTATATGTGAAAGGTAAGGTCCAAAGAATATCGGAATAATAAAAAACACATATGATCTAACACTATATATTGAAATAAAAAATAATGAAATAATTCACACTCAAAAGTTTTCAATAAACAAAATCTCATATAATAATTCTCAAAATTTTGTTCTACGTACGTGAACAATCAAAATTAATGGTACAAACAATATTAGTTGAAATCTCAAAATCCAAGTATTACTCTAAATCTCCTAATCAAAATATTTATATCCTTTCTAAATTAAGTGTAAAAAATTGTGTTATCAATGAAAGAAAAACTGCAGAAAACAAAACTATCTCTCTCTGATGATGAGTGGTCCAAATCCTTGTTATTTGTAGACTATACTATTTACTCGTGGCCGCTCCCTAAGTAATCAGCAATCTTACAATAAATTATTGCAAGTATCTCGTCCTTAATCTCACAAACTTTCACTGCTACTGCTTCCTACCTCTGGGAAACTACCCGAGAACAACGGCCGTTCGCCTTGCACCCTTAGAAACCAACTGACTATCTTTTCTCACTCCGAAATCTAGCTAAACTTTCCTTCCTACATACCTATCCCACCTTTTTCAATCTCCGCAATCAAACTCGTCACAATTTCCCTATTTTTTCATTTCGATAACAAACAACTTTTTACATATAATTATAAAATTTCCTAAAACTTATTTACAAATAATATTTTTCTACAATTCTTAAAAACTAACAAAAACCTCTTTCTAAAATCTCTTCTATTGTCTTTAATCACTGCGTTAATGTATTTGGAAAACCCGGTTCAATTGTTCTTTGGATTTCACTTAAAATTATGCGGGTCACTCAAGTATAGTATAACAAAGGAAATAATTTATGCATAGCTTACATTTTGTTTAATCCAAAAATTTAAAAACTTTCTTTCTTCGAAATGTTTGTTGGTTATTATCCTACTTATCTGAATTATTTTAATGTTTTTGAACTTTGAAATATTTTAATCAAACCAATTTTTTTCTCGATTTTATATATCATAACAATATATACGGATTAAGTATATACTAAATAAATGTTTGAAAAATTATTGATTTAATATTATATAGGTAGAGATTATTTTTAACGATTTTGGCTAAACTATTGGTTAAATTGCGTTATAACAATTTTCCATTACTTTAAATGACATGAGGGTAATACGATATTGATCTTATACTGATATCTACCCATAAAATATCTATTTTTAAACAATATATAGGTATTTCGATACAATATCAATTTAAAAC